TCATGATAAGAGATCAGCTCCTGCAAATCTGCCCAGCAGATGTCAGACAGTTTGTCTTAGAAAGAGAACCAGCATCAATACCAAGAATATTCTCTGTACCATGACAATACCAGATGTCAATGTAAGTTTTCAGAAATCCTGGAATCTCAAAAGTCACATTAGAAACTTTTCTAGCAACTGAACTACATTTTCCAGTAAAATCAAATAAATCGCATTTTGGAGAATTGGCATTTACAGCTCATTTATGTTTAGTTAAACTGAGTTCAGCTCCTGTATCTACTAAAAACTTTATGTTCCTGCCATTCAATACACCCTGTACATATGGCCTTCAACTTTCATCCAATAAAATTGGAGCAACATATTCCGTAAAGGCGAAGAATCTCGATTTGATCCTGATTCTAATTTCGGAAATGGCACTAAACCATTCCTATTAATGACAACAGCACTGTTTACCATATTGTTTAAGCTGTTGTTGACACTCAGTGAACTGATTTCTTTGACTTCTGAGGCATAAGACAACTCAGACAGACTATTGTTGGAACATGGAGAAGCAGATTGTTCAGAAATTGTATTTTATTTTTCTAATTCCAAAGTTTTTCTTTGTAAATCTAATTTATATTTGAACACAACTTCTTTTCAAATGACCAAATTGTGTACAATATTATTATTATACAGGATTTATGGCGCCAACAGTTTTGCTCAGCACTTTACAATATAACGGGAGACAATACAGCAACAATACAGTTCAATACAAGAGGGAAAGGAGGGCGCTGATCCTGGGAGCTTACAATCTAGGAGGGAGGGGATAGTGGTACAAAAGGTAGTAACTGTGGGGGATGGACTGATTTGAAGAGTAGAAGATTCCATTATTAGCTGAGGGCAGGATAGGCTTCCCTGAAGAGAGAGGTTTTCAGAGATCGCCTAAAAGTGAGCAGAATAGGTGATAAATTGGGGTAGAGAGTTCCAGAGGATGGGGGAAGCTCTGGAAAATTCCTGGGGACGAGCATGGGAGGAGGAGACAAGAGAGCAGGAGGTCTTGCGAGGAGTGGAGAGTACGGTTTGGGTGATATTTAGAGACAAGATCGTTGATGTATGACAATAGAAACAAATGGTATTTCCTGTCTGCTCTGAAACTCTCGTTCTGCCTGTGACGTGCCCATCACCATAATTGGGTGTGGCCATGCACATGGTCTCTCTCTGTTCTCCATTTTGGATAGCTACACTTTCCATCTTCTGATTGTTTCGTTTAATTTTAATTTATCTAAATCATTTTTTCCAGCAGCAATAATAAGAGATGCTGGATCTAGATACTTAAATTTTTTAACAAAAGCTTTTATCATAGCAGGAGTCTCATTTTCCAAATTAAATACCATTTTGTATACTTTGGAAAATCTATTTTTAAAATCAAAAGGATCATCATTTACCGTAGCTCTTAAGGAGTCTAAGATTTTCGGAGAAGGAGTTTCCTCTCCAGTTGTACATAGCAATAACTGACGCAATCGGTCTGATGCATTGCTATGAATTTCCACATCATCCTCATTAATATATGGCATCTTGGCTAATCGACATGCCATAAAGCTGGGAAGCCATTATCTGAAGAGAAAATTTCTTTGCTCCTGATTTAAACAAACATTATTACACAAAATTTCAAAAACCTCTATTATAAAAAAGCGTATCAGGCTAGCATATCCTTCAAAATTTTCATGAGCTGATCAAGGATCTTAAGATTAATTTTTACAGTTTATCCCTTAATTTTCTCTTAAGCATTGCTTCATGATCCTGCAGATCATCTTCTATAGACTGGATGTCCGTTACAAAAGATTTTTATCTCTCTGCCTTAATATTTACGCAAATTTTAACATCATTCTGTAGTTCAGATAGTTGAATGTCTTTTGTTTGAATTGCACTTTGCAGGTCATCTATTTGCTCAGTCAAAGTCTGGCAATTAGCACATACACTGTTACCTTGCCCTGACTTCATTACACAAGCAGCATTCCTAGGAACCTCAAAAATCATGGCGTTAAAAACGTTAACTAACTTTATTACATTTCTAACTTGCTTGCTCAATTTCTTAAGGAAAACCTAGATTTTTCTATCTTCATATTAGCCTGTAAGCATTCATTATACATGTACCGCCAAAGTTCGTCATCTTTAACAAATTTAGACAGATTTTTTTAATTCTAATTTACTCTCGCTAGATAATTCATCAATATAATCCATTACTTATTAAGAAGGTCTTTCTTCATGTAATGCGCCTATTCTCTCTTGGCGGGAAATTATATCACCAAGGAACAGCATTTTCTTGCATTTGCGCAAAATTCCTCACCAATTCTGATTTTAGGTTTTCGATTATGCCGAAGGGTCATCTGCTGAAGGCTTTTACTTCTCCTGAAAGCTTGACTTCATATGTTGCTGACCTTGCAGCCATCTTCCCTCTCATCAAGATGAAGGAGAAAAAAAGTAAAAACTGATTGATATTCGGAAAAAAATCAAACTGACCAAGCTCGCCAAAATACCGCATTCTCTCGATATTTTGTTAACTTGTGTTGGTGAGAAAAGTTCAAAATAGAAAGTCCTTCCAACTCTTGCATAAGCTCAAAAATTGATTTAATAATAATATTGCATAAAATTAGAAATAAAATATTGGAATACAGAATGTTTAGATAATGTCCAAAAAATATAGTTAAGTTCTTGAGATAAAGATTGTATGTAATCTTATGTGTGGTATGAATCTGTGTGTGTCGTGAATCTAAGCTTCTAAAAAAGTGTGCCTAAAAAGTCTTTGTTCTGCTCTATAAGGAGCAATTCAGCCCCCGCCTTCTCCTAAAAGTGGGCTGGTTTTCTTTTCTGTCTCTTGTAGTCCTACAATGATATTTGGGCAACAGATGTATAAAACAAACCCTCAGTCTTCTCCCCTCCCCTAGGAGAGAGTCTGAAATTTAATCCTTGGAAACTTCACTGACATTCCATCAATTCAGGGTAAATGAAAATGAGATGTATTACATATATATATATATATATATATATATATATATATATATATATGTGTGTGTGTGTATATGTGTGTGTATATGTGTGTGTATATGTGTGTATATATATATTGAATTTAATGCATTGGGCAATCGGAAGCCAATGGACGGAATGACAGAGGGGGGGTGGCAGAGGTGGAGCGGTTGGTGAGGTGGATGAGTCTGGCCGCTGAGTTCAGGATAGACTGTGATGAGGTAGGCCCGTAAGGAGGGAGTTGCAGTAGTCCAGACGTGAGATAATAAGGGAGTGAATGAGTTGTTTATTGGTGTCTGGGGTTAGGAACGTACGTATTTTGGAGATGTTGTGGAGGTGGAGCCTGCATGAGTTTGCCAACGATTGGACATGGGGTTGGAAGGACAGGTTTGAGTCCAGAAAGACACCTAGGACTTTGGCTTGCGGGGCGGGACTGATGGTGGCGTTGTTGGTCATGATGGAGAGGATGGGGGGGGGGGCGCGGGCTGGGGGGAAGATTAGGAGCTTTGGGAAGGTTCAATTTGAGGAAATGGAGTGACATCCAGTCTGATATGTCGTTTCGTAGGTGGTCAATACGGGCGGAGACTGAAGGGGTGAGGTGAAGGGTGGAGAGGTAAATTTGCGTGTCATCGGCGTAGCGGTGATAGTTGAAGCCGTGGGAGTGTATCAGTTTGCCAAGGGAGGAGGTGTAGATGGAGAAGAGAAGGGGCCCGAGGACAGAGCCCTGGGGGACCCCAACAGAGAGGGGGAGGTGTGGTAGCGTTATAGATAACGCTGAAGGAGCGTTGGGATAGATAGGAGGAGAGCCAGGAGAGAGCGGAGTCTCTGATGCCGAGGGAGTGTAGTTTATTAAGGAGAAGTGGTGTGGTCAACTTTGTCAAAGGCCGCGGAGAGGTCGAGGAGGAGGAGGATAGAGTAGTGGCCATTAGCTTTGGCGGTTAGCAGGTCATTAGTGATTTTGAGTAGGGCGGTTTTGGTGGAGTGTAGGGGACAGAAGCTGGACTGTAGTGGATCGAGGAGGTTGTTGTCATTGAGGTGGGCGCATAGGTGATTATAGACTAAGCGCTCAAGGAGCATTTTTCCGCATTTGCGGTTTTTAGTGATTTTTATATGGGATTTTGCATCTCCGGGTAGAGGGCGCGAGCCCGTCACATTCGCGCCCTACCTGTGCTGCCATTGGCGGCCTCAGCTGTTGATCACTGGGTCCCAGGCGATGATTCCCCACACGCACCTGGCGATCTCCGAGTATCACTGACAGGGGAGAGACCTGTATGTAAATAATACAGGTCTCCCCCCTGTCAGCTCCTGCACACTGCTTTGTATGGCTCTGTATAGCAGTGTGCGTACATTGTAAAGCACACATAGTAAAACAGCACACGGGTAACCCCTCAGTCACCCCTCATGTTAACCCCTTCCTGCCCAGTGTCAATAGTACAGTGTCAGTGCTTTTTTATTAGCAGGTCAGTGACACCAAGTGAGTTCCCCCCCAGTGTCAGAATGCCCACCGCAGTCCCGCTATAAGACACTGATCGCCGCCATTACTAGTATTTAAAAAAAATCCCAGTATCTATGCCGCCATTTGTAAACGCTATAACTTTCACATAAACCAATGAATTTACACGTATTGGGATTTTTTTTAGTAAAGACACGGAGCAGAATGCATTTTGACCGAAATTTATGATGAAATTTGATTTTTAAATGTTTTTTCCTGGACATATTTAATAGCAAAAAGTCCAAGATATTGTTTTTTTTTCAAAAATTGTCGGTCTTTTTTTGGTTTATAATTAGAGATGAGCGAAGTATTCAAAAATTCGATTCGATTGATTCGGCGAATTCGTGGAAAATATTTGATTCGAGTCGAATATATTCGCTGTGAATTTAACTTAAAAAATGGTGTTTCTAGGCTTCAGAGAGACTTAATATTAGTGCAGAACACTGTACCTTTAATTTAAATGCCCTTGGAGTCTGCTGGGGAAGAGAAATAATACTGTCAGTCAGTATGACATGCAGATGAGTGCCGTCGATCTTAGAATCACCGCACACACTTCACTCATTTGGCCAGTCACGGGGCCAAAACCAGTGTTTGGAGCCACAGTGTGGCGGTGGAGGCAGCAGCAATGGGAGGCCATACAGCAACCTATGACAAAATGGAAACCAGCAGGAGTGTGAGGAGACCTGAAAGTGGCACATGGCAGAGGTGGAGCAATAGGAGGCGGTACAGGGACCCATGTCACACTGTGGACCCAGCAGCAGCGTAACCAGGCGGTACGGGGGCCCATGGCAGATTTGGGGCCTGGCAGCACCTATGGGAGGCCTGTAATCTGCCAGCAACCTATGACAAAATGGAAACCAGCAGGAGTGTGAGGAGACCTGAAAGTGGCACATGGCAGAGTGTGGGATGGAAAACAGCAGCAATGGGAGGCGGGGTACAGGGACCCATGTCACACTGTGGACCCAGCAGCAGCGTGACCAGGCGGTACGGGGCCCATGGCAGATTTGGGGCCTGGCAGCACCTATGGGAGGCCTGTAATCTGCCAGCAACCTATGACAAAATGGAAAACCGCAGGAGTGTGAGGAGACCTCAAAGTGGCACATGGCAGAGTGGGAGCAATGGGAGGCGGTACAGGGACCCAGGTCACATGTGGGACCAGCTGGCAGCAATTGGGAAGGTGACCAGGCGCAAACGGGGGCCCATGGCCGATTTGGGGCCTGGCAGCACCTATGGGAGGCCTGTAATCTGCCAGCAACCTATGACACAAAATGGAAAACCGCAGGAGTGTGAGGAGACCTCAAAGTGGCACATGGCAGAGAGTGGGAGCAATGGGAGTACAGGGCACCCAGGTCACACTGTGGGACCCAGCAGCAGCGTGACCAGGCGGTACGGGGGCCCATGGCCGATTTGGGGCCTGGCGGCACCTATGGGAGGCCTGTAATCTGCCAGCAACCTATGACAAAAAAATGGAAACACACCAGCCGAGTGTGAGGAGACCTGAAAGTGGCACATGGCAGTGAGGAGTGGAGCATTGCATGGGAGGCGGAGGTACAGGGACCCAGGTCACACTGGGGCCCAGGCAGCAGGCGTACCTGGCGGCGCGTACCAATGGGAGGGGTAATCTGCCCCAGACACCCTTGACCCTCAACAAAATGCAAAGACAGTGTGAGGCCTGAAAGCAGCATGATGCTGGAGGCAGCAGGTGAGGAGGGGTACCCATGGCAGATTACCTGGCAGCAGTGATGGAGGCACATGGGTAATCTGCCAGCAGAGTGGGTCAAAAGATATAGGGGAACACACCAGCAGTGTGAGGAGACCTATGACTGAAAGTGGCACATGGCCAGATGAGATTGGCCCATGGACCTTGACACTGTGGACCTTGCGCAGCATGAGGAGGCGGTACAGGGGCCCATGGCAGATTAGGGGCCTGGCCGCAGCAATGGAGGCCCGTAATCTGCCAGCACCCTATGACAAAAAAATGAACACACCAGCAGTGTGAGGAGACTGAAAGTGGCACATGGCATGTGGAGACTCAATGTGGACCCTGGCAGCAGCATGACCAGGAGGAGTGGTATAGGGGCCCATGGCAGATTAGGGGCCTGGCAGCAGCTATGGGAGGCCCGTAATCTGCCAGCACCCTATGACAAAAAATGTAACACACCAGCAGTGTGAGGAGACTGAAAAGTGGCACATGGCAGAGTGTGGCGATGGAGACAGCAGCAATGGGAGGCCGTACAGGGACCCATGACAGACTCTGGACCTGGCAGCAGCATGAGGAGGCGGTATAGGGGCCCATGGCAGATTAGGGGCCTGGCAGCAGCTATGGGAGGCCGTAATCTGCCAGCACCCTATGACAAAAAATGGTAACACACCAGCAGCAGTGTGAGGAGACCTCGAAAGTGGCACATGGCATGAGACTGTGGACCTGGCAGCAGCATGAGGAGGCGGTATAGGGGCCCATGGCAGATTAGGGGCCTGGCAGCAGCTATGGGAGGCCCGTAATCTGCCAGCACCCTATGACAAAAAATTGAACACACCAGCAGTGTGTGAGGAGACCTGAAAGTGGCACATGGCAGAGTGGGGCGATGGAGACAGCAGCATGGGAGGCCGTACAGGGACCCATGACTAGACTCTGGACTGGCAGCAGCATGAGGAGGCGGTACAGGGGCCCATGGCAGATTAGGGCCTGGCAGCAGCTATGGGAGGCCCGTAATCTGCCAGACCCTATGTCAAAAAATTGAACACACCAGCAGTGTGAGGAGACCTGAAAGTGGCACATGGCATGAGAGACTCTGGACCCAAGGGCAGCAGCATGAGGAGGCGGTATAGGGGCCCATGGCAGATTAGGGGCCTGGCAGCAGCTATGGGAGGCCCGTAATCTGCCAGCACCCTATGCAAAAAACTTGAACACACCAGCAGTGTGAGGAGACCTGAAAGTGGCACATGGATGAGTGTGGTTGGAGGCCATGACCCATGAGAGACTCTAGGCCTGGCAGCAGCATGAGGAGGCTGGGTAATCTGGGGGCCTCCATGGCAAAAGATTAGGGGCCTGGCCAGCAGCTATGTGAGGAGACCTGTAATCTGCACAGCACCCTATGCAAAATGGATGGACACACCAGCAGTGTGAGGAGACCTGAAAGTGGCACATGCATGCAAGACTGTGGACCTGGCAGCAGCATGAGGAGGCGGTATGGTATAGGGGCCCATGGCAGATTAGGGGCCTGGCAGCAGCTATGGGAGGCCCGTAATCTGCCAGCACCCTATGACAAAAAATTGAACACACCAGCAGTGTGTGAGGAGACCTGAAAGTGGCACATGGCAGAGTGTCATGGAGTATTTAGTCAGTTGTGGTCAGGAATGGTGGACCCATGTGAACCAGAGACTCTGGACCAGCAGCATGAGGAGGCAATACGTGGTCTCTCCCATGGCAGATTAGGGGCCTGGCAGCAGCTATGGGAGGCGGTAATCTGCCAATACCTATGACAAAAAATGGGGAACACGCCAGAGTGTGAGGAGACGCTAAAGTGGCACGGGCATGACAGCCTTTCAAGGCAGCAATGGGATTCAGCTAGTTGGGGCCCAAGGTCAAGTTTCTGGGCCCCAGCAGTCAATGGGATTGTCTACCTCGGTTAGGGGCTGTCCAAGTAGGCAGAGCCTGTTTTTGAGCTCAAATGCTCCAGGCCTGATGCAGCAGCTATGGGTGAGGCCCGTAAGTAGTTTCCTCACCCTATGTGAAGAAAGCTACTCATCATCGACTGCAACTGAGGCAGCCGTGCTGGGAGGAGCTGGCCACTGCTCCTACCACCCCCCCCATCCCCTGGCCATGGCAGCGGAGATGATTGCGCAGGGGCCCACATGTCTGAGGATGGACGTTGGCAGAAAGGCAGGACCAGCTGACTACATAGGTGCCGCACTCACCCCCCCCTATGACAGCAAATGTCAAAAAAGTGAACACACCAGCGTAGGAGACCTTTGGCCTCCCTGCAGCAGGTGTTGAAAAAGGCCACCACTCTTTGTGGGCAGGCATGAGGAGGCGGTTGCAGGGTCCATGGCAGATTAGGGCCTGCCAAAAGCTATGTCTGATGGTAATCTGCCAGCACCCTGTGCTTCAAAAAAACTGACCTGAGCAGCATGGGCATGTGTGCCAAGGAAATGCATGGCATGGGACTCCCTGCCTCCATCTCCACAGCATACTGCCACGGTGCGTCTGGGGCCCTCTGTCTCCTTCCTCCTGGCTACCAGAGCTATGGGAGGCCCTCCAATCCTGCGCTGAGAAAAACCACCCATTTCACTCAATAATTCCTGGAAGCACACCAATGTCCTCCTCTACCTCCTCCTCTTCTTCCTGTCCTGCCCCCACAGGGGTCATGTGGCGTTGAGATCTGTGCGCCACGTCTACCCGCAACCCTGACCAGCCATTGTTAACAGCATTTGTTCCAGGACGTGCAACAGAGGAATGGTCGTTCATCCCATAGTCCTGCCGACTCACGAATAGCGTGGCCTCCTCAAAGGGGCTGAGCAAGCAGCAGGTGTCAGGCGGTATGAGCTGCCAATGGCTGGACATCTAAGTTACATGGGAGTACCGTTTATCCAGCACTTTTAACATCAAAAATCTTGAACCACCAGCTGTTGTAAAGGAGGTCTAACATATGTAGGCATGAATTCCACTTGTTGCAACGTCACAGCATGAGGAGGCGGGTATAGGGGCCCATGGCAGATTACGGGCCTGGCAGCAGCAATGGGAGGCCCGTAATCTGCCAGCACCCTATGACAAAAAATTGAACACACCAGCAGTGTGAGGAGACCTGAAAGTGGCACATGGCAGAGTGTGGCGATGGAGACAGCAGCAATGGGAGGCCGTACAGGGACCCATGAGAGACTCTGGACCTGGCAGCAGCATGAGGAGGCGGTATAGGGGCCCATGGCAGATTAGGGGCCTGGCAGCAGCTATGGGAGGCCCGTAATCTGCCAGCACCCTATGACAAAAAATTGAACACACCAGCAGTGTGTGAGGAGACCTGAAAGTGGCACATGGCAGAGTGTGGCGATGGAGACAGCAGCAATGGGAGGCCGTACAGGGACCCATGAGAGACTCTGGACCTGGCAGCAGCATGAGGAGGCGGTATAGGGGCCCATGGCAGATTAGGGGCCTGGCAGCAGCTATGGGAGGCCCGTAATCTGCCAGCACCCTATGACAAAAAATTGAACACACCAGCAGTGTGAGGAGACCTGAAAGTGGCACAGTGTGGCATGAGAGACAGCAGCAATGGGACCTGTATTACAGCAGACCCCAGAGACTCTGAGGCAGCAGCATGAGGAGGCGGTATATAGGGGCCCATGGCAGATTAGGGGCCTGGCAGCAGCTATGGGAGGCCCGTAATCTGCCAGCACCCTATGACAAAAAAATGGAACACACCAGCAGTGTGGTGAGGAGAGACCTGAAAGTGGCACATGGCAGAGTGTGGCGATGGAGACAGCAGCAATGGGAGGCCGTACAGGGACCCATGAGAGACTCTGGACCTGGCAGCAGCATGAGAGGGAGGCGGTATAGGGGGCCCATGGCAGATTAGGGGCCTGGCAGCAGCTATGGGAGGCCCGTAATCTGCCAGCACCCTATGTCAAAAAATTGAACACACCAGCAGTGTGTGAGGAGACCTGAAAGTGGCCATGGCAAGTGTGGCGATGGAGCAGCAGCAATGGGAGGCCGTACAGGGACCCATGAGAGAGACTGTGGACCTGGCAGCAGCATGAGGAGGCGGTATAGGGGCCCATGGCAGATTAGGGGCCTGGCAGCAGCTATGGGAGGCCCGTAATCTGCCAGCACCCTATGTCAAAAAATGAAACACACCAGAGTGTGTGAGGAGACCTGAAAGTGGCACATGGCAGAGTGTGGGCGATGGAGACAGCAGCAATGGGAGGCCGTACAGGGACCCATGAGCAGCAGACTTGGCAGCAGCATGAGGAGGCGGTATAGGGGCCCATGGCAGATTAGGGGCCTGGCAGCAGCTATGGGAGGCCCGTAATCTGCCAGCACCCTATGTCAAAAAATTGAACACACAGCAGTGTGTGAGGAGACCTGAAAGTGGCACATGGCAGAGTGTGGCGATGGAGACAGCAGCAATGGGAGGCCGTACAGGGACCCATGAGAGACTCTGGACCTGGCAGCAGCATGAGGAGGCTGGGGGTATATAGGGGCCCATGGCAGATTAGGGGCCTGGCAGCAGCTATGGGAGGCCCGTAATCTGCCAGCACCCTATGTCAAAAAATTGAACACACCAGCAGTGTGTGAGGAGACCTGAAAGTGGCACATGGCATGAGAGACGATGTGGACCTGGCAGCAGCATGAGGAGGGACCCATATAGGACTCCCATGGCAGCAGCATGAGGAGGCGGGGTATATAGGGGCCCATGGCAGATTAGGGGCCTGGCAGCAGCTATGGGAGGCCCGTAATCTGCCAGCACCCTATGTCAAAAAATTGAACACACCAGCAGTGTGAGGAGACCTGAAAGTGGCACATGGCAGAGTGTGTGGCGATGGAGACAGCAGCAATGGGAGGCCGTACAGGGACCCATGAGAGACTCTGGACCTTGGCAGCAGCATGAGGAGGAGGCGGTATAGGGGCCCATGGCAGATTAGGGGCCTGGCAGCAGCTATGGGAGGCCCGTAATCTGCCAGCACCCTATGTCAAAAAATTGAACACACCAGCAGTGTGTGAGGAGACCTGAAAGTGGCACATGGCAGAGTGTGGCGATGGAGACAGCAGCAATGGGAGGCCGTACAGGGACCCATGAGAGACTCTGGACCTGGCAGCAGCATGAGGAGGCGGTATAGGGGCCCATGGCAGATTAGGGGCCCTGGCAGCAGCTATGGGAGGCCCGTAATCTGCCAGCACCCTATGTCAAAAAATTCAACACACCAGCAGTGTGAGGAGACCTGAAAGTGGCACATGGCAGAGTGTGGCGATGGAGACAGCAGCAATGGGAGGCCGACAGGACAGGGACCCATGAGAGACTCTGGACTGGCAGCAGCATGAGGAGGCGGTATATAGGGGCCCATGGCAGATTAGGGGCCTGGCAGCAGCTATGGGAGGCCCGTAATCTGCCAGCACCCTATGACAAAAAATTGAACACACCAGCAGTGTGTGAGGAGACCTGAAAGTGGCACATGGCAGAGTGTGGCGATGGAGACAGCAGCAATGGGAGGCCGTACAGGGACCCATGAGAGACTCTGGGACCTTGGCAGCAGCATGAGGAGGCGGGTATAGGGGCCCATGGCAGATTAGGGGCCTGGCAGCAGCTATGGGAGGCCCGTAATCTGCCAGCACCCTATGTCAAAAAATTGGAAACACACCAGCAGTGTGAGGAGACCTGAAAGTGGCACATGGCATAGGAGAGAGTGTGGCCTGGCAGCAGCAGGAGCAAGGGCCCATGGCAGATTAGGGGCCTGGCAGCAGCTATGGGAGGATCCCATGAACACAGAGACTCTGCACATGGCAGCAGTGTGAGGAGACCAGCAGTGGCGTACATGGACCCATGAGAGACTCTGGACCTGGCAGCAGCATGAGGAGGAGGAGGCGGTATAGGGGCCCATGGCAGATTAGGGGCCTGGCAGCAGCTATGGGAGGCCCGTAATCTGCCAGCACCCTATGTCAAAAAATGGAACACACCAGCAGTGTGTGAGGAGACCTGAAAGTGGCACATGTTTGGGCATGATTCATGGCGGATTTAGTCAGTTGTGTCAGGAACTGGTGGTTTGAAATCCAGACTAATCCACGCCTGATTCATTTTCACAAACGTGAGTCTCTCCACACTTTGGGTGGACAGTCGTGTCCTCCGCGGAGTTACAATACCTCCTGCCGCACTAAACACGCGCTCCGATGCCACGCTACTGGCCGGGCATGACAGCCTTTCAAGGGCAAATTCAGCTAGTTGGGGCCAAAGGTCAAGTTTCGTTGCCCAGTAGTCAAGGGGATTGTCTACCTCGGTTGGCAGGGTGCTGTCCAAGTAGGCCAAGCCTGTTGTTTGAGCTCCTGCTCCAGGTCCACCTGATGATGCTGCTGCTGCTGCGGCTGGTTAGTAGTTTCCTCACTGCGCTGGTGAAGAAAGCTACTCATCATCGACTGCAGACTGAGGCAGCCGCTGCTGGTGGAGCTGCCACTGCTCCTACCACCCCACCCCTCCCCTGCTGCCATGGCAGCGGAACGCGAGCGCACAGGGCCCACAGTGTCTGAGGATGGACGTTGGCGCACAAAGGCAGAGACCAACTGACTACATAGGTGGTTTTTATAGTACGTTATTTTGGCCTCCCTCTCAGCAGGTGTGAAAAAGGCCACCATTTTTGAACGGTAGCGAGGGGTCCAACAAGGTGGACAGCCAAAAGTCATCCCTCTGTCTGATGGTTATTATTCGGCTGTCGCTACGCAAGCAAACCGAGCATGCTATGGGCCATTTGTGCCAAGGAATGCGAGGGACTCCCTGCCTCCATCTCCACAGCATACTGCCACGGTGCGTCTGGGTCCTCTGTCTCCTCCTCCTCCTCCTCTCCAGATGCTCCTGCTCCTCCACTCCTGTCCGCTGAGTGGAAAAAACCACCCATTTCACTCAATAATTCCTGAGCACAAATGTCCTCCTCTACCTCCTCCTCTTCTTCCTGTCCTGCCCCCACAGGGGTCATGTGGCGTTGAGATCTGTGCGCCACGTCTACCGCACCCTGACCAGCCATTGTTAACAGCATTTGTTCCAGGACGTGCAACAGAGGAATGACGTCGTTCATCCCATAGTCCTGCCGACTCACGAATAGCGTGGCCTCCTCAAAGGGCCTGAGCAAGCGGCAGGTGTCACGCATGAGCTGCCAATGGCTGACATCGAAGTTACACAGGGGGAGGAGTACCTTTATCCTAAGCAAAATGGTAGTGTGTAACACTCTACACTGAAAAAAGAAGGTTGCTAGGTGATCCACGCGGGTAATATGAATTCAAAAATATTTCAAACGATACTTTATTTGATCACATAGATCATAAGGAGGTTTTAAACATTAGCACGTGTTGGTGTACATGTGAAAGAAATAATAAAAATCATGTTAAAAAGCAGGCGTCTTCAGTTTAGGGTTCATCTTAGCAAATAGAGTACCCCAGGCAGGGAGTTATATGATGGTGATATAGTTATCCTGGGTTTCCATGGGGTTTCAGCTTGAAAGTGAACCATGTATTCAACAGATGTGTTCCCCAATTATGTTCAGGGCCTGGTATGTAGGAAGTGGAACATCAAAAAATACATAGTATATGTATAGAAAATATGAAAACCAAAAACCAAATCACATCCAAAGTTCACCAGGCCTCCCTCTACAGTAGTCAATGGAACCAGCTGCCATTCGTGTCATTTAGGGTGGCTTGTTTGTGTTTTATTGTTTGTGAGTACCTTTATCCGCTTGTAACATCAGGAAATCGGTGATGGCCTTTCGCTGCTCGTAAAGGCGGTCTAACATGTGTAGGGTTGAATTCCACCTTGTTGCAACGTCGCAGATCAGGCGATGCTGTGGAATTCCGTTCTGCCGCTGCAGCTCAAGGAGGGTGTGCTTTGCGGTGTAGGAATGGTCTGAAATGCATGCAAAGTTTACGTGACATTTTATGGATGTCTTGCAGTGGGCAGTTGGAATTTAGGAAACCGCTTGACAACCTGATTGAACATGTGAGCCATGCATGGCGTGTGTGGGCACAACCTTCCTTGACGCAGAGCAGACACCAGGTTCTGTTCCGTTGGTCGGTCAACATGGTTCCGATTTTCAGTTTTGCGCGGAGACAGAATCTGACGTTTTCTCTGTTCATTACACTCAGAAGTTCCTCCCCTGTGTGACTACGTTCGCCAAGGCATACCAGGTGCAGCACAGCGTGGACCACCCGTTGCGCCCTGCACATGTGATAGTGCCGGTCGGCTAATGGGACTTGGCACGGGGGTGGCGGCATGAGGGACACGGCGGAAAAAGAGTGGTAGAGGCGGACATGTTTGCTGGACAAGGGGACGTGCAAACGTGGAGGCAAAAGCGTCGTGACCTGTCCAAGTTGCTGGTGCAGCTGTGCCGGCACCACGTTGAAACCCAGTGGGCCGTAAATGACATGTACTGTCCCTGACCGTAGTTACAGCTCCACACGTCGGCGCTGCCGTGCACTTTGGCAGAGACGACATGCTCAAAGACTGGCCCACCATCTCTTCTACATGTGAATGCAAGGGCAGGGCACTGCCTTTT